TTTCCGTGAATTCAACACTGAAGTGTGTCAAAGCGTTATACATCGAACAAGACGTATTATACTTTGATCAAATCTTACTATTAACGACGAATCTACAACATTTATCCATTGATGCTAAATATTTTCAGTAGATGTGAAAAATCTTCTAACAAACTACTTTCAAAATATCCACGGTTTAGCGATCGAGATATCTTGGACCCACGAGAATGATCCAGGCGATGAATGTATTCGATTGTTTTGTCAAACTATAATGAAAATGAAAAAGTTATACAGTATTTATATTTTTTGTACGATAGCACAGATCTTTTACTGAGCATGTACAAAATATTCGCTGAATATGAACATTACTTAGTTGTAACATTTATGGGACAGATCACTGTGTGGAAATAATAGCGAACTTTCGATTAAATTAGCACATTTTGTACAATAACTAAATTCATGTTCATGCGCGTAACTTCTATTGCTTTTTTTTGGATGCTTCTTGTAACAACTCTTTTGAGAGAAAACAAGCATTTAGAAAGGAACAAATCACAAACAAACGACAATAGGAAGAAATTCAATTATAGAAGATTATCTATGCTAGTCAGCAGGGCAGGAATACGACTATGAAAATACCCTTTCTCACTTTTGTTTCAACTTCCAAAAACATACTGGTAATAATAGAATGATTTTTCATTCTAGCTTGTTGACTACTTTGTGTTGCAAATTTCACCTTTTAAGAAAGTTTATTGGAAACCTTGTAATTACTTACTTAGAGTACTTTTATCGTATTAGGAGAGATACCAGTCCCGGGATTTTCAAGATATTCGGTAGCACGTCTAGTTATAGTTTTAAGTATTGGAGTGTACCAAAGCGGTTCTCTAAATATTTTCTCCCAGATGTGCCTCCACATGCGATTTTTGAACAAAGTTTTTCTTGCAAAAGGATGTTCTCCAGTCTCCTCGTTTCAACAACAAACATCTTACCTCAGTACCTTTATCCCTTCAAAGGTTAATTAAAAGTCGCACAGTATACTACTTTTTGAATGAATAGTTTCGCGTACAGCCGAGATTCATTCATTGAACCTATCACAAATGAGACAATTATATCATAATAAAATTGAATTTTATCTAGATGAAATAACTTTTTGATAGGTGGCTTCTTCGCTTAATGCAATCTTAGTGTGATTTGAAAGTACTATTTGTTCATTGAGAACAAACGATGTGATCAAACTCGTCCTATCTCATTACTGGCCACACATTCTAAGTTGTTTGAAAAAGTATTACTAGAAAGAGTTCGACATTGGGCAGAGAGTCAACAACTGGTACCGATTGAGCAATCCGGATTTCGACCAGGATGTTTACTGCCAACTCGAGTACTATCTATTTATCAAGAAGTGAAAAATAATTTGGCTGGTAATATCCCAACACTTGCTATCTATTATGATTATCAGAAAGCATATGACAAACGCGATAATGGATAAACCGTTGGTCAGTTAGAAGCGATGATCGATAAACGGATAATGGGAAAGAAGCGATGATCGATTAACCGATGATCGGTAAGAAGGCGGTTTAGTCGTTGGTTCATTAGCTGGCTCACTCGTTGCTTCATTAGGTGGCTCAGTCAGTGGTTCAGTCGTTGCTTCAGTGGGTGGCTAAATCTTTGGTTCAGTAGGCGGTTTAGTCGTTGCTTGATTAGGTGGCTAAGTGGGTGGTTCAGTAGACGGGTCATGAGGTGGTTGAATTGTTGGTTCAGTAGATGGCTGAGTCATTGGCTCATTAAATGGTTCAGTGAGTGGTTCAGTCGTTGTTTCAGTAGGTCGTTCAGACGATGGTTCACTAGATGGTTCAGTTGTTGGTTCAGTGAGTGGTTCGGTCGACGGCTCAGTGGTTCAGTCGTTGTTGATTCGGTAGATGGTTCAGTCGTTGGTTCATCAGGCGGTTCAGTAGGTGGTACAGTCGTTGGTTCATTAGGGGGTTCAGGCGTTGATTCCGTAGTTCCCTCAATAGGCAATTCAGTTCTTGGTTCATTAGGTGGTTCAGTCGATGGCTCACTACGGTTTAGTGGTTGGTTCAGCAAGCATTTCAGTCGCTGGTTCACTACGTGGTTCAGTGATTGGTTCAGTAAATGGCTCATTCGTTGGTTCATTAAATGGTTCAGTGAGTAGTTCAGTCGTTGGTTAAGTAGATGGTTCAATCGTTGGATTAACAGTTGGTTCAGTGATTGATTCAGTCGTTGTTTCAGTAGGTGGATCAGTCGATGGTTCACTAGATGCTTCAGTTGTTGGTTCAGTGAGTGGTTCAGTCATTGATTCAGTAGGTGCGTCAGTCGTTGCCTCATTAGGCAACTGAGTAGGTGATTTAGTCGTTGGTTCATTAGGGGGTTCCGTCGTTGATTTAGTAGGTGCTTTAGTCGTTGTGTCATTAAGTGCCTATGTGGTTTACTCGTTCGTTCTGTAATTGGCTCAGTAGGTGGTTCAGTCGGTCGTTCGGTAGTTGGATCAGTCGTCGGTTTATTAAGTGCCGCAGTGGTAGTCCTTGGTTCAACCGATGATCCGTAAGAAGCGACGATCGATTAACCCATGATGCGCAAGAAACGATGTTCGGGTAATCGATAATCGCTAAGAAGCGATGATGGATTAACCGTTAGTCGGTAAGAAGCGACGACCGATAAACCGATACTGGTTACGAAGCGATGATCGACTAATCGGTAAGGGGGGCGATGATCGATATGAAGCGATTATTGATTACCCAATACTGGATAAGTGATGATCGATTAACCGATAATCGGCAGGAAGCTATGATCAGCTAACTGATAATCGCGTGGCTAAGTAAGTGGTTCACTAGATGGTTCAGTTGTTGGTTGAGTGAGTGGTTCAGGCAATGGGGAAGAAGCTATGATCGATAAACCGATACCAGGTAAGAAGCGCTGATGCGTAACAAGCGACGAACGTTTAACCGATAATCGGCAAGAAGCGATTGAAAGAACTTGGGTGATTGTCTGTGTAGCCACCCGCATACCAAGCATACTGAATCATTGGACGAAAAACTTCGGAACAGAGTTGGTTATGAGTAAGAGACATGAGGCGGATGATGTTATTCCGCATATTGGCGCTACAATATGCGCCGTATCTCCATGTGATGCAACTTCTTTTATCTGCTGCAGCTGGTGTGACAAACCCTTATGTTTCAGTCATTTTTTCCTGAACTATCATTTTCATTGATTTTTGTTGGTGAAGAGTTTTCTGGCAAACAACGACATCAGATGTGAAGCGAGGGATTCTGATTGTTCTATGGGCTGATAAACAGCAAGAAGAAGTGACTTTGATGAAGTATGATCTGATTCTAAACCCAGAACACATCGTACAAGCAATGGGTGAAATTGCAACAGACTTCCGCCTAAATACTCTACAGTTCTCCATAAACGATCATTTTTCGTTTCAGTCTCTTTTCGTATGCATCTTGAAAATTCGATATCTCGAAAACAAAGGCGCGAGGGGATAAATCCTCTTGAGGTTTTTCATACCTCATTGAGGTCTACCTATCGCCAAAAGATGGGACCTAAAGGGCTTAAACACCTAAATATGTTCCCTCGTCAGTAGATGGTTCTGCCGTTGGTTTATTAGGTGGTTGAGTAGACGGTTCGCCGGTTCGTTCATTAGGTGACTCAGTGAGTGGTTCAGTTGTTCGTTCATTAGTTGGTACAGTCGCTTATTCATTACGTGGTTCAGTGGCTGGTGTAATAGCTGGTGCAGCCGGTGGTTCCTTAGGTGTTGCAGCCGTTGGTTCATTAGGTGGTTCAGTTGTTGGTTCATCAGCTGGTTCAGTCGTTTGTTCATTAGGTGGCTCAGTAAGTGGTCCAGTAGTTCCTTCATTAGTTGATACAGTCGCTAATTCATTACGTGGTTCAGTCGTTGCTTCATTAGGTGGCTCAGTCTGTTAGAAAATCTGTAAGACGCGATGATGGATCAAGGGATAATCGGTAAGAAGCGATGTTCGATTAACTGATAATCGGTACGAGGCGATGATCGGTAAGAAGCGATGATGGATTAACCGATAAACCACCTAATGAACGAACGACTGAACCACCTAATGAACCAACGACGGAACCACCTAATGAACTAACGCCTGAACGAACTACTGAAGCAACGGCTGAAGCACCTAGTGAATAAACGACTGAACCACGTAATGAATCAAGGACTGAATTGCGTACTCAACCAACGATTTAGCCACGTAATGAACCAACGACTAAACCAACGACTGAACCACCTACTGCACTAACGACTGAGACACCTAGTGAATCAACGACTGAACCACGTAATGAATCAAGGACTGAATTGCGTACTCAACCAACGATTTAGCCACGTAATGAACCAACGACTAAACCAACGACTGAACCACCTACTGCACTAACGACTGAGACACCTAGTGAATCAACGACTGAACCACGTAATGAATCAAGGACTGAATTGCGTACTCAACCAACGATTTAGCCACATAATGAACGAACGACAGAACGAACTAATGAAGCAACGACTGAAGCACCTGGTGAATGAACGACTGAACCACGTAATGAATCAAGGACTGCATTACCTACTGAGCCAACGATTTAGCCACTTAATGGACCAACGACTAAACCACCTTATAAACCAACGACTGAACCAGCAATTTAGCCACCTAATGAACCAACGACAGAAGCACCCAATGAACTAACGCCTGAACGAACTACTGAAGCAACGACTGAACCACCTAATGAACCAACAACTGAACCACCTACTGAGCAACCTAATTAACCAACGACTGAACTATTTAGTGAACCAATGATGGAATCACCTACTGAAATAACCATTGAGCCACGTAACGAGCCAACGACTGAATCACGTAGTGAATTAATGGCTGAACCACCTAATGAATGAAGAACTGAACCACCTAATGAACGAACAACTGAAACACCTAATGAACCAACGGCTGAACCACCTACTGAACCAAAGATGAACCTACGTTAGCAAAATATGAAGTGTATTGTACACAACGGGCAGTGGCTTCTTTTGCATATCTCCTTCAAAGAGGAAAAAAACAGAAACACATATCTTCAGTCGCTCAACCAATAATTCAATGCGTCAATCTTTAGTATGCTATTTATGTTGTAAAGAGATTGTGGACTATCGGTGTGTATAAGAAATATAAATTCGCACTTTGAAATAAGAGAAAGAGAATTCTGTTGCGTTCTTGCAATTCAGTCGAATCGATGCAGAATTTATAGTCCTGCCGCGGGATCGCGAGTGTACAGCTATCGGGCCGCGAGTTTTAATTCGCTTCGGGAGTCTCACAAGATACTTTTTCTAAAAAGTACGATTTTACCGAGATCGCGCAGTGAGTTTTAATTCGTTTCGCGAGTCTCATGAGATGATTTTCTTTACTTTGATTTTTGTTTGTGAAATGGAACAGATGAGAAAATAAAAACAGAACTATACTGCCAAAAACGACATATACAAATAAAGCATGACGACATATACAATCAAGAACAGGAAATAGATGAGCAAGAGAAGCCGGATCAATACGGTCTGGTAAAACTCTCAGAAGATCCCTGTCACTTCCTACAGGGTAATACAGGATCCTATCAAATCCTATGTAGAATTATATATGATCTTGTGGGATCCTATTAAACCCTGCAAAATCTTATCACAGGAAAAGATAAGAACTTTCAGGATCTTATTGCAGGATTCCTACGGGTTTTCCTATATCCAGAATATATATGTGTGTCCTATATGATCTCACCAGGAGTGCGTAGGATCCTGTTATAGAATTTTCTGACTTGGGTAGAAGATCTAGAATGTGCGTCTATGTTAAACGTTAGGAAATGTCGACAGTACAATTTTTGACGCTCAGTTTTGGTCATGTATATCTGTCGAAGCTGCCTAATATCATATTTATAGTACAGATGTTCACAGATAAAGACAACAGAATAAGTCTAATTTAATTATTTTACAGGATCCAACCCATTTATTAGCGAGTTAATCCATGGGTATCCAACCACTTTTTTGAAAAAGGTTTTTTATCGACTTTTTTCGTTCTAGTTAGCTGGGAGGTGGTCAGAAAACAGCTTTCGCCGAAAAAAATTGCTGACTTTCACCTTAAATAAGGGAGATCTGGAGCTGTTTCTAGGAACATCTAATAAGGGTCATCCAAATTATTTCAAGATTTTGGGCTCATATGTTGCCCATTGGTAGAGGAGCACTAGACTAGCATAACCTCCAAAGGATTCTTCTTTTGATTGAGATTTGACCGAGATATGA